ACCTAGGGCTAAGGAAGACCCTGTCTCAAAAAACAAAGCAAAACAAACAGCTGGGACATGGTGGTACCTGTACTCCCCAGCACTTAGGAGGCAGAGAGGCAGGAGAATCAGGCATTCAAGGTCTTCCTCTACTGTATAAGGAGTTTGAGGCCAGCCTGGGCTACATGTCTCAAAAAGACAAAAAAAAAAAAAAAAAAAAAAAAAAAAAAAAAAATTAGGAGATTGCGCAATGGTTAAGAACACTGACTGCTCTTGCTGAGGATCTGGGTTCGGTTCACCACCCTCTTCTGGCCTCTGCCAGCATTGCATGCAGGTGGTACACCTAGATAACACGAAGGTAAAATACTCATACACATGATATAAAAATAAGTAAAACCTGGAGTTAAGAGCACTGGCTGTTCTTGCAGAAGGCCCGGGTTTGAATCCCAGCACTCACATGGTGGCTAACAGCAGTTTGTTAACCCAGTTCCAGGGGATCCAACACCCTTTTCTGTCCTTTGAGGGCTTTGCATGACACGGGTGCACTCACATACATGAACACAATACACGCATACACATAAAGTCAAGCATGGTGATGCAGGCCTTTGATCCCAGGACTCGGGAGGCAGAGACAGGCGGATCTCATTGAGATCAAGACCAGCCTGGTCTACATAGTGGGTTCCAGGCCAGCTGGGGCTGCAGGGAGACCCTGTCTCAAAAAGAAAAAAAAAGAATTTTTGTTTTGCAAACCTGTCTATTTATATTGTGTAGAACTTTTTATTCTTCTTTTATCAAATGAACTATTGAATTATATACTCCATTGCAAACATTTATTTATTTATTTAAGTCAAGTTCTCATGTAGCCCAGGATGACCTTGACCTTCTGATCCTCTTGCCACCACCTCCCAATGGGGTTTATAGACACGTGCCCTCACCCAGTTTTATAAAGTATGGGGGATCAAAAGTCCTCCATGCATGCTAGGGAAGTGCTCTACCAACTGAGCTGCATTTCCAAGTTAATGCCCAGTTCCTAGATTTAGCCAGTGGTAGTCTTGTTATTTATTAGCTATTCCTTGAATACTTGCTTCCTTGAAACACAAAGTGTTCCAAGAGAACTCAACCCCAGTTCTGAAATCAGCCTTTTCTCCAAAGACCCTTAGTTCATTTTAGCAAAGAATGGCATTTATTAGTTCATAGCTGGGGTTTTGCTCTTGTTGTTATTGCTTTTGTTTTTTTTGAGGCAGGGTCTCCCTGTGGCCCCAGCTAGCCTGGAACTCATTCTATAGACAAGGCTAGCCTGGATTTCACAAAGATCTGCCTGTTTCTGCCTCCCTAGTGCTAGGATTAAAGGCATGCACCACCACACCCAGCTATGTATTTTGTTTATTTTGTTTTACCTGTATGCATGTTTTGCCTGCAATGAATCTAAGTGCACCCATGTGTGCAATGTTTGCCGAGGCCAGAAGAGATCAGATCCCCTGGAACTAGAGTTACAAACAGTTGTTTACTACTATGTAGGAGCTGAGAACTAAACACAGGTCCCCTGCAAAAGCAGCACGTGCTCTTAACCACTGAGCTATCTTTCCAGCCCCAATTCATTTCTTTTTAAAATAAAAAATAAAACTAATTTTACAATTATTTGGGGGGTGGCACATTCATGCCACAGTATATGAAGGTCAAAAGACAACTTGTAGCTGGGTGTGGTGGCACAAGCCTATAATCTGAGCACTTGGGAGGCAGAGGTGGGTAGATCTCTGTGGGGTTGAGGCCAACTGGTCTATCTAGTGAGTTCCAGGTCAGCTGGGGCTACAGGGAGACCCTGTCTCAAAAAGAACAACAACAACAACAACAAAAAAAGACAACTTGTAGCAGTCGTTTCTCATCTTTCACCATGTGGGTTTCAGGAATCAAACTCAGGTCCTTAGGCTTGGTGGCAAGCCCCTTTTTACCCACTGAGCCATCTCATCATTCCTTATCTATATACCTATATCCATGAGTTCATATTGGCACTTCCATTGGAAGATTCTAAAGGAAGAAAAAATGACAGAATCTGATTCATGAAATGTTTTTTTCCTGGAATTGGGGGTTTGACCCCAAGGTCTTTTTAACACTATGCAAAGTGCTAGGAAGCCAGCCCTTGATGTTTTGCATGGGTTGGTGTTGTGTTTTGTTTTGGTCTTTTTGAGACAGGGTCTCCTCTCCCTGTAGCCACAGCTGGCCTGGTGCTCCATATGTAGACCAGACTGACCTTGAGTTCACAGAAATCTGTCTGTCTCTGTTTCCCAAGCACTGGAATTAAAGGCATGTGCCACCACACCCAATTCATTTATTTATTTATTTTCTTTTTTTTTAAAGGCCCTAGACTAGAGATCCCCTGGTAGCAAGCACAGGTAGAGAAAACAGACAGTTGGTATGGGGTCTCTCCCTCCCCTTGTGGGTCATTGGCCACCAGTCCACAAGGACAAAGGGAGCAGAAGCGATGAACAGGGTCAGGACGGCCAGTGAGCACTGACGGAAGAAAGCCCTTCCGGGAAGGCAGATTCAGTGATACAGCTCTGTTTATTCAGTGGGGGTCAGGGAAAATATAGTGTGGAGGCAGCAGCCAAAGCTTCAGCTGATAGGTGCTCATAGTATGCTTTATTTACATGTGGTAGGGGGATCCTATCATCCAGCTATAGGGCAATGCCTAATTATCATATAGAAAAAACCTGGGGGTAGTTTTATTTCAGGTAACTATGCCAAAGGTCATGTTCCAAATAAGGTCAGGCATCCTTGCTTGGTGGCACTTTCCAGGTAAGTCAGGCAGAGAGCAGGAGGCTCCTGCTGAGAAAGGGAGTCCTTCCATATAGCTCCGAACCCCTTAGAGCTATCCAGACGTGGAGGACTACAACCTTAGCAGCAGGATCCCCCAACAAGTTGGAAAATTGAGCTTTAGGATGACTCCCACATTTAGGATTCAGAAGATGAGAAACCCAAGGAGAGACTGAGAATGAGCTGCTAATGAGGCAGGATAGCAGAAGGGTGTTGTAGGCTGTAACAAGTGTCAAGGGTGATTTTGTAATGTAACGGTCATTTGCTAACCTTAACAAAGGCAGCTGTGATGGTGGGGCACAGGATGTACCCGGTTGGAGGGGGTTCTAAGGAGACTAGGAAGTCAGAGACCGTGAGATCATTCCTTATGTTTGCTGTCCAGGGAAGCAGAGAAATTGAATGGTATTTGGAGAGAACTGTAGATCAAGATAGTGTGTTAACTCTGCTTTTTAGTCTTTCCCCCAGTTGGCTTAACTCAACATCATAGTTTGAGTAATCTATAAAGAATAGAAGCTTAGTTAGCTCACGGATGTGGAAGCTGGGATGTCCAAGAGTATGATGCCAGAATGCCTGATGAGAGCCTTCTTGCTGCATCATAACCTGGCAGAGGTCAACACATAGATCAAGCAAGCTTGTTGGGTGGGGGTCTCCCTTCTTTTAAAACTACTGTGATCATGGAGGCCCCACATCATCGTCGTCTAGCTCTAACAATGTCCCAAAGGTTCAACATATAAATTTGGGAATGAAGTTGCCGATACATCGTGGATGTCTGTGTAATATTTTCTCAGTGAAGCAGAAAAAGGTGAGGCAAGGTGAAAAAGAGATTCGTAGTTTGAGGTGACAAAAAGTAATGACAGTTGAGTAGGAGAGTAGGAGGCTGAGTGGATTAGGGAACTGTAATAAGATCTCTGAGTGGTGCAGGGAAACATTGTGGTTTGATGGAATTATGAATTGAGATTGACAGTAAAACGGCTTTTACTGGTCGGCAGTACTCAAATTCACATGGGGGCGCTCGCGGGCTGGTTCCGGGTGGTGGACTCCTATCATTAATGCTGCACCAGCTTTTCTTAAGGAAGAAGGAACTGGAAAACAAACTGCTTACGTTTCCCGAGGTAGCAACTTTTAATAGCAAAACTACTGACGCTGTGAGCAGGATTCGAACCTGCGCGGGGAGACCCCATTGGATTTCGAGTCCAACGCCTTAACCACTCGGCCATCACAGCCGCGTGCGGCCTTGGGACTGCGCAGCTATAGCTGCCTATTAAGGAACCCGACCTGCAGATTTCTTTGCCTTGGCTTTCCCAAAGCAGCTGTGCGCATGCGCTGCGATAGCCCACCAGGTCAGCGGGTTCACAGGGCTACTACCCTCTCCCGGAGCCGCAGTGACGTACCCAGCAAAACCAGACCAGGCCCTAGTCCGGTCCTCCGTGCCGCTAAGGGAAGTGAGCTAGGATGTCTGCTTCTTTTCGGCATCTAGAAAGTATCTTAGCCTACAATCGTACACTAAAAGTGCACGGGAAAGGAAACCCAAAGGCAGGCTTGGTAAGAAGAAGAACCCTTCGTGAGGGAAGTAGAATGGATTTTCTTCGCAGCAATAATATACCCACTTCCCCAATGAGTCAGGCACCGCTGGGATTTGAACCCAGGATCTCCTGTTTACTAGACAGGCGCTTTAACCAGCTAAGCCACGGCGCCGACGGGGTACGTGGGTGTGCCTCGAAATAGATCAACTGTTAGTGCCGTTCTAGCTACTCGACTCTTCAAATTGCGTGGGTCTTCGGTCATTCAACCTATTTCCCAGGTTCTCCTCTCCCTTCAGGCTCTCAGTCCAAGGACTGAAGGGCTGACCGACGCATGTCTCCAGGTGCCTTAGTCAACTAAACTGACCTGCCCAAGGACCATCTCCAGTGTGGTGACCACGAATCTAAAAAAGCAACTAAACCCTCCACTGCTTCGGATCCCCCGCGGGCTTGCCGGAGCATCCACCTGCCCAACCCTTTAGTTACAAGCTGCCTCTCTGCTTCTCAGGATAAACCTTGCTGCAGTGATGGCAGAGATCCGAGTGTAGTTTGAATTGGTGGAAGTTTAAGAGGCAGGAATGTGGAGGGAAGAGGAATAGTGTTTTTCAGGGATGTAACCTCCCACCCTCACAGTCCTCCCAAGGGCCACTCCCCTCACTCAAGTTCCCAATTTCATTCCACGAAGTCTTGTGTTTTTTTTCCCTTCTTTCTTTTTGTATTAAAAAAATAACAGACACAATATCAAAAACACAAATGCCATTGGTAGAGGGTAGAGCTGAGAACGCCTGGATCCCACCTGAGGGGCAGCACCAGGGACTCCATGGTCCACCAACTTCCCCCACCCTGGAGCAGCTAGGGGTTCAAAACCCCTGGGTCCCACTTGGGCCCCAGGCTCCCCTCGTCCCATCTGGAGAGGAGGTGGGAGAGTGAGCTGTCTCCCCCAATAAATAAGTGCAGCCCCAACCCTTGGACTGGGACTCAGGCTCAGCTGGGATTTGGAAAGACCACAGCTTGTCAGCAACCTTACCCAAAGGAGGAAAAGGTCTCCTCACTAGGGTAGGAAGTGACAATCTTCCAGGCTGGACTGAAAACTTCCACCCTCTGCTAAGAAGCTAGAGACATTGCCTGGATCCTGGGCTGGCGATGGGGGTCCAGCCCCCTATACTGGGAGAAGCTGGGGCAGTTTCCTACTAGTTGGTCCAGCCACATCTTGAGTCCTGAGAACCACAAGATGGTCAAAAAGGAAGCCTCTCATGGACTGCCACAAGTGGCCCCAAAATGGAGTCTAGCTGGTACCATTTTCTGTGGCAGGTAACGCTGGACTAGATGAGCTCCCACCTTGTTCTTCTTCATCCATGGCAGAGTCCTGGGAGCTTGAGACCTTAACCCCAATATGGGCCTGGGCCTCCTCACCACCCTCACCCTCACCACCACCACCACCACCACCACCACCTTCGCCTCCACCCTCTTCCATGGGCTCCAGCCCAAGTCCATCCAGTTCTGAGAAGAGTGGGTCATCAGAGTGGCCAGGATCTTGGATACTGCTACTGCAGTCCACACAAGCCTTGGACAGAAAAAGGGGATATGAATGAGTCAGACAGGGAACTGGGCTTTCGCCAGCCCAACATCCCATCCCTAACTCAACAGCAATTCTTAAAATGTACTCCCACATTCCAACAAGGCTGGAAAGTGCTCTAGTGAGACCCCACTATGGGACAGAAGAATAGGCCAGAAAAGTTGTGTAGAAACTAGTGTAGTTTACTATTACATAATCCAGCAGCAAATTTAGTAGGATTAGCAACCTTCAGAATTAACAATCCAAGGACACTAAGATCAGTCTTTAGTCCTATAGCCCTTGAACTTGAGCTCAACATATCCTACCCCAATCCCTCCGTTTTCCCAGACTTTTCTCACCATCACATCAAGGGCCTGAGGCAGCTGGCCCTTCCGGACCCAGGAGTGCACAGCACCCAGTTCCCGCCGCTGGTCCTCTGAGAACCGTGGCTGCTGCTTCTGCATGGTCCGGAGTCGCTCCCGGTCCTGCTTTAGCACAGAGGCTCTGTCCCTGCAAGAAGAAGGTAGAGACTGAGATCCAGGGCCAACACCAATGAGGCTGGCATTCACCCACATTCAACCACGATTCCTCACCTACTGTCCTATGTTCCCTCCCTAAACCCAAGGAGGCTTCCAGGAAACCTGCTCTTAGCCTGAGAACTACAAGAGAGGGCCCCAAGGAATAGGGGTCACTCTACAATGGGCACCTCCAAGTTAGCTAAGCAGTGAAGGTAGGCTGTTCTCTCTGCTACTCTGAAAGGGAAGACGAGGAGGCCTCTAAAACTCCTCACCTGGATGGCACCTGGTAGGTCATCATGACATGCTGGTCAGCATTGGCCATGAGCAGCCAGATGGGATCCTGAAGCACATACTTAATAACCTGGTCCCCAGGCTCAGTCCTGGCTTGAACAGCCCCAGCCTCAGCCTCTGAAGAGTCGATGCTGCCAAAATATTTGCTCGTGTGGCTGCTTTGACTGCTGCCTGTGGAGGGGAAGGGCAGGCCACTGGAGTCAGGCTGGCTGGCATATCCATCCTGAGAAGTCTTAGCAGGCTACCCTCAAAGGCCATGTATCCAGCACACTGGCTTTTGTAAGCTAAGTCAAGTTGGGGCTTGGCTTCCCACCTCCCCATATTGTCCTACCCTGAGAAGTACTGGGGGGTAAGCACTCACGAGTGATGCTGGCTGAGGTGCTGCCCCCCTCGTGGGAGCCTGAACCAGACCCGGAGCCCAAGCCAGAGCCCAGGGAGCCTGAGGCTGCAGAGCCCGTGCCAGAGCGAGAATCCTCTTGCAGCAGTAGCTCCAGCAGGTCACTGGAGCCTGAAAGTGCATCCTGATTGGAGGATTCAGTTACCTCCACCTGGAGGAGGAGGTGGAGGAGGAGAAGAGTGGAGGGGGACAGGAAGGGGTTAATGAGTCACCACCTTGGCTTCAACTGCTTCCACTATTGAGGGGAGTGGAAGAGGAGGCACATCCAACCCAAGAGATCTCTGCTCCTTGCTCCATGACACAAGGCCAAGCTGAGAGGAGAGAGCTAATGAACTGGGATATAATGTTGGACCCTTTCCAAGTGGCAGATCCATTCTGAGAAGCTACTGGAAAGTCCTCACCACCTGTCAGGCAGGACTGTCCCTTCACAGAGGAGGCAGTTAATTTCTGTTTCATTCAGAAATTCAGCTAGGGTCTCCCACCCATACCATCTTCAGGAAGCTGAGACACCAGCCCAGGAAAAAGCAACCAGGCAGAAGAGGGACAAGGGCTGAGGGCTGGGTGAACTGGCAGGGGGACAAAGGAGATCAGTGCTTACCAGTCTGGCCTCTGGCTCAGCAGCCTCCTCAGTGGGAGGTGGGGGCCCAGCACTACTCCCAGGGCCTCCTGCAACAGCACCCCCTTCAGTGCGGGGGGATTCCTCAAGCTGTAGCAGATTGAGCTGGAGTGGGGAACTGCATCTTGAGTTGAACAGGGGGGAGTCTGGGTGATGAGGGGGGCTCGGGGTCAGTGGGGGTAAGGATGGAGAAGGTGAGTGGGAAGCAGGAGTTGGGGGTTCCTCAACAGGGGCCTGAGATAACCCATATGGATAGCTAGGTGGGGTAGGGAATAGATAGTTAGGAAGCACCAAGGCCACCATTGGGGTCACCAGGGGGGTAGGGAAAGTGGCAGGGGGCATAGGTGTAGGGGCAGGAGGAAGAGGCTGGGGGCCTCCCCGAGCAGAGAACACTGGGAGAGGGTAAGGTTGGACCACTGCTGGGAAGGGGGTAGTAGATGGTGGAGGGGGCCAGGGGCCAGAAGGGGGCACAGGTGAAGGGTGGGAGACACAGCAGGGAGCTTCAGCCCGGGGGGTGTGGTGATGGCGTGAACGCTTGGCTTTAGATCGGCAGTGGTGTCGGCGGCCAGGAGGCACGGGGCCATGATGGCAGCCTGTGAGGAGAGACCAGGATTAGCAAGGGCCTTGGCCTGGAGAGTCAGTGTCCCTGCCACCTCCGCTGCCCTGACACACTGAGAGGAAGTGGGCACGCAAAGATTGCTGCTCATTGCTGGGCGTGGTGGCACATGCCTGTAGTCCCAGCAGAGGCAGGCGGATCTCTGTGAGTTCAAGGCCAGCCTGGTCTACATAGTGAGTTCCAGAACAGCTGGGGCTACAGGGAGACCCTGTCTCAAAAAAAAAAAAAAAAAAAAATTGCGGTTCAGCCCACACGCAAGAAATAGAGGAGATAGGAAGTAGGGGAACTTTTGGGGAAGAATCACAGGAGCGGGGGGGTTATTGTGAAAGGAGCCAGGGAAAGGCAAGGTTACATAAGGGTCAAGCTAGGGGTTTGCAAAACAGAGGCACACTGGCAGACAGGAAGAGGCAGAATGGGTTCATGGATGAACAGGAAGGTGGCTTCAGTCATCTGCCAAAATCCCTCAGGCTATGCCAGCATGGATACTTGTTCTGCCCGTTGAGCCTGTGCTCTGCCTAACTCACAATGGCACAAAGTGGTAGGCAGGAAAAACCAGGCCAGACTCCTGAATCCTGCAGCTGTCCTGGTATCTGAAGGGCCCTCTTTCCATTTACCCTTGAAGCCCAATCCCACCCAAGATTGGCCCAGAATCTTTGCAGATCACCATCAGTGATAGATACTTGGTCCCAGGTAGGCACAGTTTCTGCCTTTGCCCCCAGGCCAGGACTGAAGTAGCTTACCTGGAAGTGAGCACTTGTGCCTGCCTGTCTCCCCAGTCCCCCAGCTTCCTTCGAAGCTCTATTTGCAGCCTGGAACCCTGGCCTAGTAGAGGCTATCGAGAAGCCTGTCCCCAAACAGGGCCCTGATGGTGAAGACAGCACCAGCCTAAGTCCCCAGTAAGGAACATCTCCTGCACCACCATATTACTACCCCCCTCAACAGTTTGCTCCAGGCTGGCTATGCACAGAAGGCAGCTCAGCGAAGCCCCAGGTGGCTACCTCGCTCACCAGGGGCTGAGGGGGTGGCAGAAGAGCTGTCAAGTCCACGAAGCCTGCCAAGGTCTTTGAAGCGGCTGAGGAAAGCTTGCTCTTCCTTCTGTGTGTGCAGGGATAGCACGGCCTTGGTGAGGCCCACTGGGCGATAAGCATCTGGGGCTGGGTCAGGGGCTACTGTGGGGCTGGGGGCCGGACTAGGGACTGGGCCAGGGGCTAGGCCAGGCAGGTCCTCCATCATGATGATGTCTGAGGAAGGTAAGATGGGGAAAAGGTCATCAGAATCATCTCAGGGGTCAACACATCCACATCATACCCCTCCCTTAACAGTTCAGCCAACCCTAACTCTGCCCCAGGGCCAAGCCTTGGACACCATATGTACAAGGCCACCTCCTTTCCAAGGGCTGGACCTGAACTTTTCTTTCCATGCAAAGCTGTCCTGGAAAGAAAGAGAATACTCTGTCTCCACTAGTGGTCAGTATCCTGCAAGGAATCCCCTGGGGTAACGCCTTCATAAGTCTCCTTGTAAGGGAAGCCCATATCTTGCGCTTCACATTTTTTCTTCCTTTGTCTTTTTGAGACAGGTTCTCCCTGTAGCCCCAGCTGGCCTGGAACTTGCTATGTAGACGAGGCTGGCCTCGAACTCACAGAGATCCACCTGCCTCTGCCTTTCAAGTGCTGGGATTAAAGAAGTGTGCCACCACACCTGGCCTTCACACATTTTTAAGGTCTACCCAAAGACTTTTTAGGAGTCTTCACTATTCCTTGCCTTGGACCCTCTATGGTCAGCACTTCAGGGTTAGCCACCCCCTTACACCCCAGACTTTTATGTTTCAACTGACAGGAAGAATACAGGGAGCAGAAAGGAGGAGGGGCAAGCAGCAGAGGTTGATAGGGTATACAGCCAGGAGCAACAGGAGCCCCAAGCTAGGAGGGAGGTCTCCTCTCCACTGGCGGGAGGAAGAGAAAGGTGGGCAGGAGGGAGCTCTGGCTGAGGGACCAAGTGGGGCCCAGTCACTGCCCCCCTTGCTCCATGCCCATACCCGACTCCGGGGGCTTCTTGTCTCCCACATGGACGATGGTGGAGCTGAAGCTACACTGACTGGTGATGGACACTACGCTCTCTGCCTTATTGGCCAGGGTGAGAGGGCTCAGGGTGCCTCCCACCACTGGCTCCTTCCGAGGAGTGGCCCCCTCCCCAGACAGCACTGTTGACGACGGATCTGTGCGGAGAGATGGCACCAGTTACCACCCCTGACCCCTGGAAGGTCAGAAGAAGGGTGGGGAGGGATTGTCTAGTTAGGGGAAACCTGGAGATCAGGAGGCAGGGGAGGAGGGCAGGGAAGAGCCAGGTGGGAGCCCCCAAGGCAGAAGTGTACAGACCCAGGGCTACCAGGCTGGGAAGGGCAATGGGAGCCAGGCATACACTGAGTCTTCACCTTTCTTAGCCCCAACAGGGACCGGACCTGTCCTCTGCTTGTCATCATCAGAGGCAGAGGAAGCAGTACAGGAAGAGGAGGAGGCACATTTACGCTTGGTTGTGCTGGGGATGTTGCAGCTCTCTAAGTACCTGGAAATGGATGGAGCAAAGGGTTTAAGGGCAGGGCCTGGGGGTGGGGCAAAGGCAGAGCCTGGGGTGGGGCACAGGCAGGGCCAAGGGCAAAGATGCTTATCAGGTCTTACCTAAGGATGCTGTCCAGGCAGTTGATCTGCTGGTAGGAACAACTGGAGGCTTCCTTCCTCTCTGCCTCCTCGGGAGCCAAGGCTAATGGGGCTTGGTTGGGCATAGGGACCACCTCCAGCTCTGGGTCTAGGGACTGGCAGGGAAGACCTTTGGCCTTGCCTGTACATGGAGCAAGGAGAGAAAAAGGTAAATGGGTTGGAATGAGGGTCATGGGCTCCTCAGGCCTTAACTCCTCATCCCTGCTTCAAGGTGTTAATCAACTTACCAAGGAGGCGGGGCCGGGGTGGAGGCCTGGCCCTAGACTCAATGAAGAGCTGCTGCCCCTGGTGCTTCACCAGATGCACGTCCTTACAGATCTGCTGGAAAGTCACCTGTGGGACAGCAAAGCACTAGGTATCACTAGGGTGGCCAGTGCCAGGGACCAAGGGCACAATAAGACAAGCATCAGTAAGAAGGCCTGGAGGCCTAGGTGGAAGTACACAAGGAAAAGGCCAAAAAGAAAGAGAAGAGGGACTGGAGAGATGGCTAAGTAGTTAAGAGCACTGGTTATTCTTGCAGAAGACCCGGGTTTGGTTCCCAGCACCCACATGATGGCTAACAACTCCAGTTCCAAGGGATCTGATGCCCTCTTCTGACCTCGGCGGACATTGTACCACACAGGTGTGCTTACAGACATCAGGCAATACACTTATATGCATAAAATAAAGTAAATTACATATATGTGTGTGTGTGTGTGTGTGTGTGTGTGTGTGTGTGTGTGTGTCTTTTTGAGACAGGATCTCCCTATAGCCCCAGCTGGCCTGGAACTGACTATATACAGACCAGTGTGGCTTTGAACTCACAGAGATCCACCTGCCTCTGCCTCCCGAGTGCTGGGACCAAAGGCATGCACCACCACGCCCAGCATAAATAAAACATTTTTGTTTTACGTGTATGTATTGCCTGCATGTAGGTAAGTGCACCCGTATCATGCAATGCCCACAGAGGACAGAAGAGGCTGTCATCCCCTGGAACTGGAGTTACGGACAGTTGTTAGCTGCCATGTGAGTGCCGGGATTCGAACCCAGGTCTTCTGCAAGAACAGCCAGTGTTCTTAACTGCTGAGCCATCTCTCCAGCCCCATAAATAAAATATTTTTTTTAAAAAAGAAAGGGAAGGGGCAAAGCTCTCTGAAGTGGACAATGCTGATTCCCAGGAGAATAGATGAGAAAAGTGATATGGACAAAAGTTACTCACTGGAGCGGGAGGCCCAGGGCCCTCGGCATCACCCCCATTGCTATCACTGGAGGAGCCAGGGCTGTGTAGAGGACGTGGAGACATCAGAGGACCAATTCCACAGAGCCCTGTGGGGCTGGAGCTGTGTACAGGCTGAAGCAGGGAGGAGGATAGTTTGGTTAGATGCCTATAGTCTGCTTCCTGACCACTTCTTCAGTCCCAAGTCCCTCCTTAACTCTCACCTGCAACAGCAGCCGGTGGATCTGCTCTGAGAGCTCCTGGATGTCAGAGTCCAGGGACAGGGCTGGGCTTGGGGCTGGGGGAGTGAAGACGTCCTCATTGAGGGGTGCCCTGCAGGGTGATAAGAGTGGGTATAGCCCTGTGCCTAGTCCTGCCACACTGCCCCATCCCCAATGCCAGCTCAGGGACATGGCCTACTTACGTGCGCACTTTATGGCGGCCCAACACAAAAGCCACCTTGCGGCTCCAAGGGTGCACAAAGCCAGCCCAGCTAGTGTCCATGGTGACATACTCCCCATTACGGGCACAGAAGCGGATGGGGGAGTGGTCAAAGGGCTGGCCCGCCAGCTGCAGGACTAGTAGGAGCAGGATAAAAGGTGGGAATCAATGGGAGGAAAAGCTGAGTAAGGTGGAGGGCTACCCATGGACATCTAGGAGATAAAGGCATTGAGAGGCGCCACCATGAGGACCATGAGGACAGCTATAAAGCCCTCAGGACAACAGGAAGAGAGAGCAGGGTAAGAACTTACTCTTCTTATGGATGGCCAGCATGAGGGGTCGATCCTCAGGATGCAGAAACAGGAGTACTGGGGCCCCCAGGAGGTCCTGGGGTAGGTAGCCCAGCAACGGGGCAGCTCTGTAATGAAAGTAGATGTCAGAGAGACCATGGCCTCAGCTTTAGCTACCCACTTTCTTCCAGGTCCTGACTTTACCTTTCATCCACGTCCTGGAAGAGGCAACTGGGTGTGTGCCTCGTGGTGAAGATCCTCTTGTCAGGGGGGATCCGGGGAGCTAGAGTACAGAACATGCAGGTTTCATCCATAATGGTCCAGTTCCTCAGCTCTCTTCTCTGCCTAGGGTCTGTCTGTCTGGCATTCCTCCTCCCAGTTCAGCCCTGGCCTTATGGCCCATAAAGGGCCTGAGTTATCTAGTGCCTCACACCAGAAATGACACTGAAAATCACCAAAGTATTTTTCACTTGCCACAACTCAGTGCTCTTATCCAACCCTACCTCAAAGTAGGGCCAGAGCCTTCTTCTTTATAAAACTTTCTCCTTGTCCAGAATCCTAAGGGCTCAGCTGGCACCTCCCAGAGTCCCATCCTAAATCTCACCCCAGCCTAGGGGGAAATCCTTCCTCCCATCATCCCCCAGGCCAGGGCCTTAGCCTATCTACCTTCATAACCTGAGTGGATACGCTCTGCAATGAGTAGGCAACACGGCTGTGCAGGGGCCCCATCTGAGACTCGAATCTTGGTCACGTATGGAGTTAGACGGAATGGATGGTATCGAGGCCCTGGATCCCGGTCAGGACCTCCTCTGGCAGGGGAGAGAGGAATATCAGAGACTTTCAATGGAAAGTTGCCCAAACCCCACCTCAGTCACAGCCCATACAACAGAGATAGAGTATGGGTGGGAGAGGCCTGTTCCTACTCCCCCACCCACCTGATTCGACAGAAGACAGACTTCTCCTGGGTAAAGTCCTTGAGGCCCGAACCTAAGACAAATGAGAATGACAGTAAGCACAGACCCCATTCCTTTCCTTGGCTGAGAAGAGCCCAATGAGTGAAAACTTGGGCATATGCTGCACAGAGCAGCAGGCTTCCTAGGCTGCTCAGTCCTCTCCACGAGCATGTGGGCACTGTACCTGCAGAGGTCCCTGTGCCCCAAGTGGGCAGGCGAGATGGTGCAGTGGAGCCATAGAAGACGCCCACATCCTGGGGAGCTAGGAGTTCTGAGAAGCGGGCACCCCGAAACACATCCCGCTTGCAACGCAGCAGGACACCTGCCTGCTCAGAAATATAGACGATTCGGCCTGTCAGGAAAGAGACAGCCACCGAGAAGGTATCCTATAAGGAGAGCAAAAGCAAAAGAAGATTCAGGCACTGTAGGAGTGGGGATGAAGGTGTATTAAAACAGAGGACCAAGGCTGCAACTGACCTGGTTACGAAGAGTGTACTCAGATGTGATATGCTCCAATTCCTCCAGGGTATAGGTAGACATGTCCATGGCACAAGGCTCACCCTCTTCCAGACTCCACTGCTGGTAATATTCCTGGTTGGCTGCAGGGTAAGGGTGTTCGTGCCACATTCAGTAAGAAGAATGATCTTTTTTTTTTTTTTGGTCTTTTTGAGACAGGATGATCTCCCTGTAGCCCCAGCTGACCTGGAACTCACTATGTAGACCAACCTGGCCTCAGACTCACAGAGATCCACCTGCCTCTGCCTCCCAAGTGCTGGGATTAAAGGCATACACCACCACGCCCGGTGAATGACCATTACAATAGCCCAAATACTGGCTATTCCCTCCCAGGAAGTATCACTCACCTTGAACCTGCTTGACACAGGCCAGGGCATACTGGAGTGTGGCCAGGGTCCCAGAGCGGCCCTTGCCCCGATGCCCTGGTGGCAGCCGAAGCTTGAGCTCCCGAAGTGCAGTCATGAGTTCCTTCTGGGTCCTGGCTCGAGCTGACTGTTCACTACTGCAGGGCCCATAGGAGATGAAAGGGTAAAGACATTAGCCCCAAAGTGTGGCCCCAGGCCCCAGACCACCCACAGCCCTCATCCCACACACCTGCAACCACTGGTAGATGGATTGTCTTGCTCTGAGCTGGCACTCAGGAGGCTATAGGCAATGGAACTGCTGGGTGGGGATGGGCTCTGAGAGTTTGTGCTAGAAAAGAAGGAACAGCTCAAGATGAGGGTCAGGAGATCAACAGCATGGGCTATCACCTAGCTCACCTTACAAGACCACTCCCACAGCCCATAGCATGCACACGCACACACCTCTTGCTGCTCTCAGTGGTCTCCAGTAAGGCCGAGTCCTTGCCATTGCCAGAGGAGGAGCTATGAGAGCTCCGCTGAGATGCACCCCTGGACTCATGCCCGTTTGACTCATTACCACTTGAGCCATTGCTGTTTGCATCGGTGTCATCAGCCAGGCTGGGACCTGGACAAGACCGGTGCTGGGGGGCCCCAGGGGATGGGACTCCTCCAGAACAAAAAGATTCTCCGGGCCTAGGGTCTCCTCCCCCATCAGCCCCTTCTAGGGGGCCACTCATGTCTGGGCCATAAGGAAGACAACAAAACAGGGAAGGTAAAGAGGCCACCACACGTGCACAAAGGGGCCTTGAGGCCTGGCTGAAGGAGGTAGGACGGCTGTCTGAGGGCTGACAAATTCAGTCACAGCACCTAGGAGGAGAAAGCAAGAGGAAGGTTTAGAAAAAGCTGAGCACCTGCTAGCTACACTTAGCCCTGTTCCACACTGCTGGGCCTGGGGTTTGCAACAGAGCGCTAAGGTAAGCTCTGTTTCCTGTCTCTGTAAGGATATCGCAGGTAGGAAGGGAGCTCTCTTGGGCCTTCTCTCACGCCCCCTACCAGTGTGGCATGGGTACAGCCTGAGCAACAGACTACCGCTGTGGGTCAAGGCTCCCAGGTTTCCCATCCCCAAATTCCCATCAGGCCCCACTTGGCCTGGGACTCTGAGGCCACGGAGCAGAGGGTGAGCGGAGCGCCTCCTATATTTAGGCTTCCGGGCTAAATTTATCTGGGGGCGGTACCACCCCCGCTGCACATGCGCGCTGACGAGACGTGCACGCGGTTGGGGGGGGGGACGCACCACAGGCTTCCGCTACTGCTGCGGTCGCCAGGGAAACCGACGTCAGTCACTGAGCTCAGCGGTTGCTGGAGGGACCACGGAAGGGCGGGAGCGAGTCCCCTGAGGAAGTGGGAGAACGACCCACTCCCACACTGGCTGGCCTATCCAGTGGATCGTCCGTCCTAACACATCCCCGGGACCCAGACGGCGGTGCGAAGAGGGGCGAACTATAGGGATTCCGGGAGCTGGTTCTAGCCTCCCAAAGACGAAATACACCACCTCTGCTCTCCCGGCAAAAGCCCCCAGCTCTCACCTGGTCATTCTAGTCAAGACACTGCTTTTTCTTTCTCTGGCCTCTGCCTCCTCTCAACCACCGGGACTGAAGCCAGCACATGCCATAGATAAGGACCCTGGATTCTTCCCTAGTCCCCTACTTCTCTAGTTAACCGTACCACCCGCATCCAAAACCTTAGGTAGGACATGCCCAATAACTAGCATAGAGTTCTTCCTCTACTCCCTGTCTAACCACACCCCCATCCCTAGCATTTTCTCAGCGCCTGGAGAAAAGGGAAGGCTGTGGCCAACAGCAGGAACCAGCGCCGGGAACGGGATGTTCCAGCTCAAAGCGGCTGACATCACGACCGGCGTGAGGCCAAGAAGTGGAGGGAGGAAGGCGGGGAGTGCTGAAAGCCTCAAAGGGTCCGGGTGCCGTGGCAAACCTGAGGACCCCTGAGTGACGACGATAAGGGGATAGGGACAGGCCCGCTAATGGTGGGCTGTAGAGCCTGAGATGGCTGGGACGGAGGGGCAGAGCAGGACCAAAGGTGAGTCACTAAGGAGTACAGACAAGGGGTGAAGGGTTAAGTTGAACAACCAGGTCCCTAGGGACAGGGAAGGGGTGAACAGCGACAAGAAAGGTGGATTATTGGTTTGTTGAGCGCCAGAGCTGAAAGTGGCCCATTAGGTTGGAAGTGGTGGCGCGGCCAAGCTTGGGGGTAGAGTTTGGCCCTGGGGTGGCTGCGGAGATCCCTACCTGGCCGTTTGAGCGCCCTCCAGCCGCCTGCCTGCTGCCGTTCCAGCCCACAACCAAGAAGCTCCGGAGGCAGGGAGGCGGGTTGCATAATGCCAGGCACTGCCCCTCATTGGCCTTCGGCCCGCGGAGCCGCAGGCCCCGCCCCTGACTGGCTAGGGCTCTTTCCCTGGTACCTGATTGGCTACTGATCCCCACTGAGGTCAGGGCTGTGTCACACACATCAGTGCACGTGGACTTGGGTGCTGGTGCTGGGCTGAAGGGCCTCAGACACAGCTCAGCCAGCCAATGGGCTCAGGATGCCTCGAATAATGAAAGGGAAGTGAGGGGACTGACACTGCCCCTCTTCAGGGAAAATGTCTGGGCCACAGTGGGTGCTCAAGAGATAGCTACTTCCTGTACTGACCAGCTCTCCTGCAGACACTGGAGCTGGAGCAAGTGAATGAAATGTCTGGTACCTGAAAGACGGAGGGGGGGTGGACACGACATGGAGGGGACACGGAGGAGGGGACACGGGGATGGGGGGTACCTAGAGTGGCATTTCCCCAACCTTATAATGAATCAAACTCATTCCTCTGATACTTAAGATCCTAGAAGGACAATTAAGAGTCCACGTGTCGTTAAGGGGTGAGTGGGTGATGGGAGGATGCAGACAATGGATGGGGGCAGAGAGGGCCAATGGCAACTGTGAAAGGAAACAATAGCAGGTGCTTCTATGGCCAATCAGAGAAAAGGTCTCCAGACAGCCTACTTGGTGAATACTGATGCTTCTCTGCAGAGGATGCAGCCACCCACAATTAGGGCTGCCCCCAAAGTGGGAGCTAGGAAGCCAGGGCTACAAAAGGTACAGCCAGGAAGACAGCTGAGGCCCTAGACATAGAAAGGTGGGTGGCAAGGGCTTTATATTTCTGCTGCTTAGAAAAGAGAAAGCCACCGGGTGTGGTGACACACAATTTAATCCCAGCACTTGGGAGGCAGAGGCAGGGGAATCTCTGTAAGTTCAAGGCCAGCCTGGTCTCCATACTGTGTCCAGGCCAGCTGGGGCTATAGGGAGGCCCTGTCTCAAAAAGACAAAAAAAAAAAAAGGGAGAAAGCTAAGATTCTGGAACTCGGCATTAATCTGATTCCTTTGCCATATTCTCAGGACAGGACTTGACACCTAGTAGGTCATTAGTGAACATGACTTTGTTTCTAATAAGAATAGGTAAGGGAGAAGGGGCCTCAGGAGAGAGAGGCTACAAATGACAACTTTTTAAAGTCCAGCACTGAGTCCTAAAAAGAAAACAGGGACTTGATTGGGGGCATAATGTGCCAATGTCGGTGCAGGAGTGTAGTGACACAGCCCTTCCATCCAGTTCTGCACTGAGTAGTCTCTCAGGGCACCCTGGAAATGTGGGTGAAGAGAAAAGGCCACCTTGCAGCTGCTGACATAATCAGCTGTAAGTGCACACCCCTTACTGTCACGTGGCTGAAGCTTTCCTAAACAATGGTGTTTCCCTCAGGAGGAGGTAAGGGGCTGGGCTCTGTGGAGAAGCTGGGCCATAGAAATGTTATAAAATAACCCAGAAAAACAGGAAAACACAGAAAACAAAAGACACAGGAGCCCGGATTCTCAGCCTCCTCTCCTTGAAAATGATCCTGCTCCTCTGCCCCCTCATAATGTGGCGCGGTCCTCTCCTTTTCTTTCAGAGCCTTTTCCCCTTGCACAGCTCTGAAGGATTTAGGTGTGATTCCTTTGACCCAAGCAGTCATCGCTTGCCCACCTCCACCTCCAGATCTGTCATTGACACAAAAGGTTTCGGCACTCTAGCAGTCCCCACCTGCTCCCAAGGCCCAGGTTGTCCGGTCTCACGGTCCCCACAGAAACCAGGCTCCGCTGCCGTCAATGGAGGAGAGGGGGTGGGAGACTGTGGTGACGTCAAAGCGGAGGAAGGAGGCGGAGCCATGCAGCCAGGGAATGTGGGGCAGGGAGGCTGCTGAAGAGGCAGCGGTTTGGGAGGCGGCCAGGCCCAGAGGGCGTCGGCCAGCGCACTAGGGAACATCGTGTTCTCTTGGCTGGTGGCCCAGGACATGCACTCAGCCTTGGCGCCTCCCCCAAACGAACGACTGCCATCCTGTCCCAAAGCCAGGGATTCCTGGAGAGAGGGTTAGGAGGAAGGGGTCCCCCTCCTCCGCCCCCATGCCTGGCCCTTTTTCGGGAACCGCATCTGCCCGCCCTTTAGCTGGGTCTTACAGCTGCTGGCATTGGCTTTCCCCCAAACCAAACTGTACACAGCTGTTGGCCCGGTACCAAAGAGCCAGGGCGGGCAAATTGGAGGCCCAGGTTCTGAGAGGGAGCTCGCACCTTTGCTCCTTCCCAGAGGCCCCCTTCAGAGGTGGAATTTCTTGTTACTATAACAGCAGAGAATGAGTAGGAGGAGGGACAGGGAGAAGAATGGGTTTCGGATGAGGAAATCAAACTGGGACAGGGCAAGTAGCCCCAGTCTGGGGCCCAGATCTTGGGGAGGGATACATGGAATTTGATGGAGTTTGGATTGGTGCCTGAAGGCCAGAAATCAGGAAGAGAGAAATGAGGAGTCATCAAAACTTGCAGAAAAACATGAGAATGAGACTAGTTCCCAGCCACAACATTCACATCCCTGACTCTGTTACTATTGATTTGTTACCCTATCTTTTAAGCTATACATACCCAAGTATTGTGCTAAATACATTTCTTCTTCTTCTCCTTCTTATTCTTCTCTTCTTCTTCTTCTTCTTCTTCTTCTTCTTCTTCTTTTCTTCTTTTTGTCTTTTTGAGACAGGGTCTTCATTTAACCCCAGCTGGCCATCCACCTGCCTCTGCCTCCCAAGTGCTTAAATACATATATTCTTATTTAACCCCCCAACAACCCTGTGAGATGGATATTACCTTTCTTTCATGAGGGACAACTAAGACTTGGAAGTTACTAAATTTTCCTAAATTGTCTGCCACATAAACATGTTTTCAGCCTCCTAACAAATGGAGCCCAGAGTTCAAGTTCTAGTGACATCTTGTCTTTTTGGATTCTTACCAAACTTCTAAGCTGCATTCCAGCACTGGTAAGCCAGGACCACTCAGATATCCAGCTGATTCTAAGTTTGGTACCTGAAACACAGGCTCCATCCTATTCCTTCTCCCCCTTCAGCCTGATCGCAAGGCATTGTTTGTACTCCACACACACTTACCATCATGGCTCATTTTCCCACTACTCACAAAGCCCTTGAGATCATTCTAGAAGCCTGCAGCCCCAATGATTTCTTGGGGCTTCATTCTCCTACCTTACCCAAGACCACTTTATCACAGGCCTGAATGTGTAGAATACCACAACCTCTTGGTTCACCTCCAGCAGCTCAAGAAGACAAGTGGGCAGCCAATCTGCACAAACCCCTACTTTATCTCCTACTCAGAACTCAACATTTAGCTAGCCCATCTCTGTTTCCAAGGATGTCTCTGAGCTGGAACCCCAGTTTTACCCTTTGCACACGAGAAACCCATAGCCACGATGAGACAGATTCTGGGTCATACAAATCAGCACACCAACCTTTCTCAAATCACCATGCCAACTCTTCGGTACCCCTCCCCACCTGTTCTGACAGGGCTTCTCTCCAGCCTCAAAATCTCTGTCTCTACCTGAACCTTTACTAAGATGCTTAAGGCATCTACCCAAACCTTAACCCGCTTTCATGGGTCTCGTCAAAGGAGCTTTGGGTTCCTCAGGTCGCTGGGGGGGGGGGCTTCTGAGGACCCCCCGCGCCGAGCAATCAGATCTAGAGCAAGTCTGGTAACGCCCATCCTTGTCCCCCTACAGCTGTTAGAGTTCTTGGTCCCTTGCTTCACAACCATCAAGACCATCAAGATCTCCCACTGCAGCGGTGACATATTTGCATGGTCCCCCCTACACTACGCCATTAACACTCCTTCTTGCCCAACACACCTCCCCGGAAAAGCCCATTCCGACTTCCCCTCAGCTCCCCCTCGCCCCCGGGAGCACTCACCGCTCGGAGCACTGTAGAAACCAAATTTCTTAACTTCTGGCGACGCTGGGTAGCTGCCCCACAGGATTTCCAGCCCCGCCCACCGCCCGTGGTGCCACGCCCCCCAAGCTTATTGGCTTAAAGGCACCGACCCATGCCTTGCGCCCCGTGCAGTTGACCGGCCCCTGCAAAGCCTCCATTGGCACCTCGGGCCGCTGTCATCTTCCCATTGGTCGGCATGACAACCGGCAGTGATAGATCCACGTGAGGGAGGGGGTGCCCTAAGGCGTTGATTGGAAATCTAACCGGAAGCCACGCCTCTCACCCACTCCTGGAGTTTTTACTGGCTATGGGAACAACCCCGCCCTGCTCAAATCGGTGACGCAAATTCCAGCCCTGCCCTAAAAACTTTCTCATAGGCTGAGAGGGCTAGGATATGTAGAGGACACGTGCAGGAGGCCTCACACGGCAACTTGTTTACTCAGAAGCTGGGGATTTTCCTTGACGACACCCAAGACTGCAGAGTTTGCGCAGGCGCATAGAGCGTGACCTGTACGCAGGCGCAGAAGTGACAAGCGATGGCGTAGTGGGGATGGATACTTAGTGCAGAGACCCACGCATGACTAGAGCTCTCTTGTTGGCCCCAGTCCTATGTCTGATGATCCCCAAAGCTAGAACGTCTGGGTATTAGTGTGAAGCTCCCTTTAGATCGCATCACATTGGTGAAAATAAGTTGAAATTGTTTTCTGGCTCGGCCAGGAGCTTCTTGTAAACTGCAAGAAGGCTGCTTCAGGGACCCACACCCTCCCAAGAGACTTGAGATCCAGAGAGGTTACATAATCTGTCGGAATTAATATACTAGTCAATACTGGAGCTAACATTTGAATCGAGGCCTCTGACACCATGAAGGTGTGTCTTAGGACCTATCGAAACCTTAAACCTAGAAGGAATTAAGGAGACGAAATGCAAAACCTCTAGCATATAATACGTTCTCCCTAAAGGTGGAAGTTAGAATAGACTATTGCTAATTACAGGACCATCTGTGCCCCGCCTTAGAGTCTCTAAAACAATCTTCAATAAAAGAGTCTGAAAATCTATTTCCAAAGTTACCTCTATAGCAGGCTGTTTTTGCTTGTTTGTTTTTTTTTTTTTTTTTTGAAACAGGGTGTTCCTATAGCCCCAGCTGGCTTGGAACTCACTATGTAGACCAGGCTGACCTCAATCTCAGAGATCCACCTGCCTCTGCCTCCCAAGTGCTGGGATCAAAGGTGTGTGCCACCACACCCAGCCCGTTTTTTGGTTTTGTTTTTTATTTAAAGACAGGATCTCACTATGCAGGCCTACTGACCTGAGCTCAAAATATTGACCAGGCTGGCGCCGAACTTTCTTTGTTGATCTGCCTGTCTCTGCCTCCTGAGTGTGGGATTAAAGATGTGCATCACCATGCCTGGCCCTCTAGTGGTTCTTAGGAGACTAAATTCAACAGCCCTGGAGAGGAAAGTATCACCATCATCCAGAAAGTACCATTACAGACTGACAGTGACTAGTCCCCCACACTCTGAATAGAGAAGGCAGTCATAAACATTGTCAAGCCAATTCTTTCAAGTATTTACTAACTCAGTTGGATACTGGCACTGTGCTAGACAGAGGAAGAGATATCTCGCCTCATAGAAGTGGCCTAGGAGTGAATAACCAATAGGGAGACTGTAGGGGATCTAGGACTGAAATTTAGGAGAGAAAGCAGTTCAATTGTAGCAGCAAGCCCCAGGCCAGGGAATGAAAACCCCAGAGGTGCTGAAAACCCCAGGTAGCAGAATTCACGTGGCTTAGACATCAGGCTCTTTACCAACTCCTGGTGCCCCACGTGGCCACTTCCAGAATCACACTTTGCACTGCCCAAGGACAGGGCCTCTAGCAATAGGCAGACCCTTTCCAATGAACCTTTTCAGCCTGTGAATTACACTGTGAAGATCTAATATCCTTAGTGCTGGTTAAGAAAAGATCACAGATACCACCTGGTTACTCATTACACATTTATTGTACATTTTCACAATCTGGATGCGCCACAGAATTGGGGGCATATGGGGTAGGGAAAGAGGTAAGGCAGGGGACACTGGAATAATATGGGGGGGGGGTCTAGAACACAAGCACCCCCACCCCCAGCATCTCTCCTACCCTTTCACACCACAAGTTTAGATCTCCTTGGTTCCCTCCACACAGAAAACCTGGAGCAATAGGGGGGAGAGTTTGGGGACGCCCTCCAGTGGCAGGTTAAGGGGCTGTACCCTCAGACCCCTAAAACTGTGCCATTTAAAGACATCAGATCCTTCCTTTATCATTGCACCCAATAAGGGAACAGCTCGCTCTATTTTTCTCTCTCTGGGCTCAACAGCCCTGGAGAGGGGCGAGGGTTCCCATCATCCAGCAAGTCCCATACACACATTGGCAGTGACTAGTACCCCCTCCCTGAATACAGGGGGGCAGTCAGAGGAGCTGGGCAGTGATGGGGGCAACATCCCCCAAATTGGGGAGGAAAGTTTTCAGTCCAACCTCTAGCAAGGATGAGGCTGGAGGTTTCAGGCAGGAATTGGGGGTGATTCTCTGCTTTGTCCCACTCCTCCCCAAGGCAGTGATGACTCACACACACACACACACACACACACACACACACACACACACACTGGAGCCACCCCTCTCGAAAGAGATCAAATTGTGGCCAGCCTCCAGCTCTCCTGGTGGGAGGAGGAGGCAGATCAGCAGATGGGAGGGAGGGAGACCCCCTGGGAATGTCAGTTGAGTGCCCCACATGAAAACTAGGGAGCAGGAATGTTGGGAGAGACCCCGAGTGGCAGAATTATTGGTCCATCACAACACACTGAACTCCAAGACACTTACACACCAGCTGGGGGAGAGGGAGAGGGAGAGGCAAGTACAAGAGGTTTGGAAAATGGGAATAGGTGAAGCAAACGGGACTAGAGGGGCTAGGAAGGGGCAATTCTAGGGCCCAGAGCAACCTGGTTCCCCAAAAGCCCAGGTTCCCCACCACCTGCAAGTAATGTCGTGCAAATGAAAGTGTGGGAGGAGGACCAATAGAGACTAACTCCTCAGTAAAAAAAAAAAAAAAATACAGTAAGAGAAGAGTGATGGGACAAAAAGGAAACTAAAAAGGATGTTGGTATGCAAATGATATGTTAATTAATACACTGGAAGCTCCCAGAAGACCTTGGGATTCTTAGTACTAAGTAGGACCAGTCTCAGAGCCTTCTTATAGGTACAAAGATGCACCTAGGGAGGTGTGAACATGTCTTTTTTTGTTGTTTCTGTGGTTTTTTTTTTTTTTTTAGGGGGGGAGTTGTATAGGGAAGATGGGGGTAGGGGGAGGATCAGTTAAATCCAAGGGAAGGGGAAAAGGAGAGGGAATATTGCATAGCAGATGCAAATGAAGGGACTTGGGGGTGATCAGGAAAAGTGGAAAAGGGAAAGAAGAGTAGAGAAGGTGATGATAACCTCAGGGAGGGGTGTTAAGGACAACCGGAAAAATCTTCTAGTAATAAAACTACAAACAGACCAAATATATATAATATTATATATGTATAAATAACAGCTGGCTATTTACAGGGGGCACACACAGAGACACACACACACGGATCCAGGGGAGGGGGCTGAAAGATATGGCTGAGAGGTGGAGGAACGGCTGGGGGTGGGGGAGAGGCCCTTCTTAGGCAGGGCAGACTCCTCAGGGATTTAAGTGCTGAAGTAAACTGTGGAGAGAGGGTAAGAGGAGGATGAGGGAGAGGGGGAGAGAGAAAGAAAGAAAGCAGTGTGTCAGGCCTGGCCCTGTTCCAATCCTCCCCACTCCCCAGCTAACTGATGTCCCTTCCCCTCTCTTGGCCTCAGTTTCTCCATTTATATAGCCAAGGGGGTTGGACAAGTGGATTCTGAGACCCCTTCAACTCCATGATATGATATAGGGGCCTAAGACCCCTAATTTTCTAGGCATATGAGACCACAGCTCTCAAATACTGGAGTAGTTGGCTTCCTGGTCATATCAAAACCCCTGCCTCTTTCCTGTTTCCTACTCCCCAGTTCCAAGGTTCCCAGACTGGGTTCTTAGGCCCAAAGAGTTCTCAGTGAAATACTAGGGACCACCCAGTTTTCCTGCTTTCAAAATCTTAGAAACTGCGGAGAATTAGGCAAAGTAAGGCTATATAACATTAAGATTTTTAGCTCTAGATGAATCGGAACTGCCAATAGCAGGAAACTGTGTCTTTTGTTGGAGTAAAAACTAGGTTAATGACCTTCAAAACCCAGAATCCACAGGGGAAACCTCTCCAGGGAAAAGGCCCTGGTCACTTCTGCCCCACTCACCTATGATGATGATGAGGATGATGGCGCAAATCACTCCCAAGATTATCATCATCTAGGTGTGAGAGGGAGGGTCAGTAAGACAAACCATAACATCCCCATTCACCCACCAGCCCTCCTACCTGCCCCTCTTACCTTGAGGTTTTTCCACCAGTATTTGCGCTTGAGCTTGGCTGCGCTTGTTTCAAACTGGGAGGCCCCTGCCTGGAGTGCATCTGCACGGTCGTCCAGCTCAGATAGCTTCTGGTCCCGCTCCAGGACCTTGTCCACATTCACCCTCATGATGTCCACTACCTGGGGGAGGGGTCCACGAGGCAAGGGGTGTGCCAAGGCACGCCTTAAGGAGGGCACTTCTTTAACATATGCCCATTGTGCAACACATGGAACATGCACCCCGATGCTTCCTGGCTAAAATGCCAAGGACACACACAGAACATGCCTAGCACACCTGGAGACATGCAAGGAGCACACATCAGGGGCATGCTGCAGCCATACATCTCAGATGTCACAGTTCACAGTAACACCCTCTATCTAGAGCCTTGGTCAGCATGTCCATCACTGGAACATACCTGCCCCAGCTGGTACACCCCAGGCTAACACAACCTATTAACACCCCACAGCCCTTCCAAGTACTGACAGGGATGCAATGTGGCATGTCTCTGACCCAAAACCCACAGGCGTGAACTGTCATCACCCTCAATCCAAGATGGGCTCCCACACCTGTTTGCCAACCCCATCATCCTCTGCCTTTGATACTCCCAACACACACACACACACACACACACACACACACCTCATCCACTTGGGCCTGGGTCTGCTGCAGTCTCCTGTTACTGGTGAGATTTGGAGGGGGTGCAGGGGGACCACCCTCCCCTGCTGGGGCAGCAGGCGGGACGGTGGCAGCGGTAGCCGACCTGAGGAGCAGAAACGGATTAGACTCGGGGCCTGAAGCCTCTGGCCCCGTGGCCAGGGCTCCACCCATCCACCTGTCCATCCATGGTCCCTCCAGTCCTCTCTAGTGCAAGGAAGGCCATCGGATGGGAGACCGGGTCAACTCATTCTACCATGAGCATAACCCTGAGAGACACCCCCCCCCCTCGGCCTCAGTTTCCCTGCCTGTTAAATGAGGGCGACTTCACGGACAGCGCCCTGGGTCAACCCGACATGACTGACAGCCACAGTGACAGGGGCGGGGTGGGGAGGGCAAACACCCGGTCCGTTCCCTCCCGCGGCCAGAGCCCGAACCAGACCACCCCAGACTCGGTTCCCCGAGGCCCGCGCGCAGTCACGGCCGCCAGCCAGCCACCCGGGTGCGGGCGGCGCGGGCGGGACCCCGGCGTTCTCCGGCCCACTCCTCGCGGTGGCGGCCCACGCGGGAAAGAACGTCGCGGGTGGTGGGCGGCCGACTTACATGGCGGGGGCAGCGGGAGGAGGACTTGGCAGAGGCAGTGATGGCTGCGGCGGCTGCGGCGGCGGCTAGCGCTAGCTCCGACTGGCGCTGGCTGCCGGGGATGGGAAGATGGCGGCCGCACGTCACCCGCATCCGGGCACTGCGGGCGGGGGCGGGGCGCGGCAGGCGACACATCGCGAGCAGACCGCGGGGGCGGGGCGCTGCAGGGCCAGGGATCGTCCAGATGGGCCCGCCAGCTCCATGCTGCGGGGCAGGACACCTCCGGGACCCCAGGGTTGGCTGCTGCGGCTCCGGCAGACCCGCGGCCCCGAGACACCTGCCGCACGCTTTCCGCAGCCCGGACCCACTCCTCACCTCTGAACTACATGCTCCCTCATCCTTGGAGCCCTAGCCCACACAGCCCAGGGTCTCACCCTACAACCTGGTCCCCACGCCTGGTGACCCGCCTTCAGTTCCTGATAGGTTAAGGATGGGAAAGGAAAAAGGGACCAAGGCATGTACCAGGCAATACTGATAGCCGAAACCCTGCTGCTGCTGGGGAGTGGAATTGTGAAAATTGACCTCACCTCCATCAACCTACAACTGAATGTATCAAGGGAGTTCTGGGCCCTTGGCTGCCTAGGAATGTATGAACAAAGGGAGTTACAGACTACACACACTCACACACCTGTCAAGAACTGTGAAAGCTGCTCCTCTTCAAAGATGTTCTGATCAAGTGTACTTGGCAGTCTAAGCTGGCTGAAGCAGGTTCCACCAAAATCCTTCATATGGTGGGTGCATTCTGGTTCCCAACTGGGTTCAACTGCTCTGCCACAGGAGAGGGTTCAGTCTGGCCAGGGCTCAGCCTTTGATTCTAACTTCAGGCCTGGGCCAAAAGAGAATATCAGGCAAGACAGCACCTGTAGTACTTAGGTTATAGGTACTACTTTACATGCTGATTAGTCTCAGACATGACCCTGACAGTATCAACTGCCTCTCCCTGAGCACCAAATACATTACATATGTAGACATTCAATACATACATATTTGTTAAATGGCTTGATGTAAGGAGGGTGTCTTAGGCCTGGGGCATCCCTGTTTCATTTAAGAAGGCTAAACAGCCCCAGCTGCTGTATACACTCTTATGAATCCCAGAGATAGGACCTAAAAGCTAGCAGTCTAACTTAGTGGAGTGGGGTCAAAGCAAGCCACCAGGATGAAGGAGACATTTTAGGAGAGAACAAGTGACTCTGGGACGGGAATATTCATTATATCCCTTAAAGAGGGAAAGGAGGCTGGTGGCCTTAATCTCTGAGACAAACAGGAACTGGCTTCCTTCCTCCCAACCCAGGCTTCCCAGAGCCTCCCAGTATGAGATTCTCCTGCACTGCAGGGCCCCACCCGCTCCTAGCAGAAACCCCAGGACTGGCTCTGTCACCAGAGGTAGCATTTCCCAGCTGTGTGGGGGAGGTGAGTGAACAGGGAGTGTGTGTGCTGGGTACAGGACTCACAGCCCAATCTAAGACAAGATGCTCTAGGCTGCGCCCCCCTTCCAGGAGCATCCACAGGGCTGGTTTGTGTGCATTGACACAGAAGGCTAGGCTAGTTTGGCCTTGATGAAAAGATCGGCTCCTGTGGGGGTTTTAGATGAGATGTGAGGAGCTGGCTCTCATTTTTTGACCCTAAGACCACTCTACTAGTCAGAGAGCCAAGATGTCAAATTTCATACCTTTAAATTCAAATGCCTTAGTGTCTGGATATGAAACAAGGAGAGTGGGGAGAAGGTCCGTGCAAGGCAGACAGAGCCCCCACACAGTCCAACACCTTACACTGGCTGTGGAGGTGGAGGGGGAGCTAGTGCAGAACAGGCAAGATCTTAGACACTGGTTTAGGGATGATCTGCATTTCACCTAGCCAAACCCAGGGGATATGGGAGAGACAGAGCCCCAGATAAATTTGGGGAGCTTTGGCCTTTCAGTGTTGCTGGGAAAGTTGTTCTTCCCAGTGGATTCTGGGGACAGCAACAGCAGAGTAAAAATGAGGACACATGTGAGCCATGGAGAGGACCCAGTAGGATTCATCTGTCACTGCACAGTCCCTCCCACCCTATCCCACCTAGACTGTGGTGTGAAGAAACTCCAAATTTAGGTCAATGGTAGAGGTGGGAGGAGGCTGCAGTGGATGACCAAGTTCACCCAGAAATGTGTAAGAGAATGTTTTCTACAAGCAAGTAGAATGGAGAGACCCAAAATAGAGTTCAGCCAAAGAAAAGTGTTTGCATAACTGAGATGTGCTTTCTACATTTACCTCCTCAGGGGCTTGATGGTTGAATTTTCAGACAGAGTCCTCAAAGCTCTTTCTGGACTTAGTGATGCACACCTATAATCTCAGTATTTGCAAGACGAAGCCAGCAGAATCAGGACGTCAAGTCCAGCCTGCTAAATGAGACTGTCTCAAAACAAACCACAGGCAACAGCACTGAAAAAAGAATATGGGAAGGAGAGGGCCCAAGGTTTATTTCTAACAAGCTCGTTCAGGGTTCTAATGTAGGAGATAGACATTGCATGTTAATAAAAGCTTGTTTTTGTTTTTCTCTCTTCACAGAATTCCTGGTTTAGAAGTTAGGGCGGAAGGGGGCTGGATCATTCCCACACTGACTCATGAACTTGTTCCATCCTCATGAGTCAAACCTTGAGGAACTAGTAATTAATGTCTGGGATTGTGTCCCTCAATACAGGTCTTTTCAGTTTTTGTTTCCAGTTTCTTGCTGTTACACATTGTGCCCCTAGGAATGTTGACAACACTTGATATATTATCTTGATATATTTGGAGAAACCCAGACGTAGAGAGATGCTTTGTTGGGAGTCTTTCGGTTTTGCTTTACTTCATTTGTTAACCTTTTTTTTCACATTTTTTATGTTTATGTTTGCAGTGCTGAGACTGAAACCCAGGTCTTAAGCATTCTAAGCAAGGCTCTACCATAGAATGATGCCTCCCAGCTCTGTAAAT